CGGTGACAGTATAACGTCCGTGTGTGGTCCCTTGTCTTTAATCAAGTTAACAGGGTGCAGTATAACGTCCGTGTGTGGACCCATGTCTTTAATCATGTTAAGGGTGTACAGTATAACGTCCGTGTGTGGCCCCATGTTTTTAATCAAGTTAACAGTATACAATATAACGTCCGTGTGTGGCCCCATGTCTTTAATCAAGTTAACAGTGTACAGTATAATGTCCATGTGACCCCATGTCTTTAATCAAGTTAATGGTGTACAGTATACTGTCCGAGTGTGACCCCATGTCTTTAATCGTGTTAACAGTGTAAAATATAACGTCCGTGTGTGGCCCCATGTCTTTAATCATGTTAATAGTGTACAGTATAACGTCCTTGTGTGGAACCGTGCTTTAATCATGTCAACAGTGTACAGTATACCGTCCGTGTGTAGCCCCATGTCTTTAATCAAGTTAATAGTGTACAGTATAACGTCCGTGTGTGGCCCGTGCTTTAATAATGTTAACAGTGTACAATATAACGTCTGTGTGTGACCCCATGTCTTTAATCAAGTTAACGGTGTACAGTATAATGTCCGTGTGTGATCCCTTTTCTTTATTCATGCTAACGGTGTACAGTATTACGTCCGTGTGTGTCCTCGTGCTTTAATCAAGTTAACGGTGTACTGTTTAACGTCCGTGTGTGGCCCCATGCTTTAATCAAGTTAACGGTGTACAGTATAACGTCCGTGTTTGGCCCCATGATTTAATCAAGTTGACGGTGTACAGTATACCCTCCGTGTGTGGTCCCATGTCTTTAATTAAGTCAACGGTGTACAGTATAACGTCCTTGTGTGGAACCGTGCTTTAATCATGTCAACAGTGTACAGTATACCGTCCGTGTGTGGCCCCATGTCTTTAATCATGTTAACGGTGTACTGTATAACGTCCGTGTGTGGCCCCATGTCTTTAATCATGCTAACGGTGTACAGTATAATGTCCGTGTGTGACCCCATGTCTTTAATCAGGTTAACAGTGTACAGTATAACGTCCGTCTGTGGCCCCATGTCTTTAATCAAGTTAACAGTGTACAGTATAACGTCCGTTAGTGGTCTCATTTCTTCATACTCCTCATACATATGACTTGTACTTGGTCAATTTATCCTGGGACAAATATTACATTAACATTAAATTATATTATTTCCAGATTTATTAACTTTTCCGTCAGTTTGACTTGGTATTTTAGTATAGTAAAAAAAAGGTCCCAAATTAGAAAAATACAAGAAAATCTTAGAACAATCCGTTGTACGTGTCTCCGATAATTGTAATAGTGCACTTGGTCAAAGACCATCAGATATTTGCATATACAATATGTATAAAAAAAATATCATTTTAAGTATCTTCTACCTCTCTTCTAACCTTGCTACAGAAATGATCATTGAATACGATAACAAAGACCATGTAATATCTTGGATACACTGTGGAATAGTTTTTAAAATAATTTAAGGTATGTAAATATTTTTTTTAACCTTTTTATTTACAAAAATAAGAAGATGTGGTATGATTGACAATGATGTAGTAGGTTACTAACTATAGGTCACCGTACGGCCTTCAACAATGATCAAAACTCATAACGCACAGCAAGCTGTAAAAGGCTCCGAAATGACAAATGTAAAACAATTCAAACGAGAAAACTAACGACATTATTTATATACAAAGCAATAAACAAAAACAATTATGAATGTACAACAACAAACGACAATTACTGGTTGATCGGCTCCTGACTTGGGACAGGCGCATTCAGAATGTGGCGGGGTTAAACATGTTTGCGCGCACGTCAACTCTCCCCTAAGCTAGGACAGTACAACACAAGAACAAACTATAAAAGTCTGTTGAAAAGGATTTAACTCATCATATAGATACAAAGTACAAAAACAACTAACAAAAACACAACTTGTGAGAAAAGATTTGATAGTATTCGCAGCTATACTGAAAGCTAGTTCAAAGCCAATAACAACTAATAAAAAAAATGATGTATCTAAGACTGAAATATTTATCAGTACACTTCAACTTCCGATGGATCATATAGACGTCATTAACAGTCAGAGAAAAACATGACATTTTGCAATGTCAAAAACTAGGTTTCGACAGATTGTAGGACTGTGAATGTACATATGCGTATAACAATAATATTTAGTTGGGTTTAAACTTATTGATAACAAGATCAATATTTATACCGATAAAACAATATTAAAAGACCTAATTACAATGTTTAATTGATAACCCTTTAGACTAAGTTTATTTAAAGGATCGATAACTTTAAACAACACCACCGTAAAAATTACGATGTGCTATCCCGGTTGCAATATATATATATATGTTATTGTGAAACTAACCCTTTACAACGGGGGCAAGCGCCAGCGGGGTACTGACACCTGCGTCATCAAAAAAGACATCGTAGTATTTACAAACAACATTATATAATTGTAATAAAAATGATACAAGATGCTTGCAAATATTTAAAAGTCTAATAAATACATTAACGCTAAAATAACATGATACATTGGTTATTTCGTAAAAGTACATTGCAGTAACAATTTCATATGCATATATAATTGGGACTCTTTCGTCCATAAAAGATTAAAAATTTCAATCTTGAAACTAAAAACGTTCGCACAAAGTTCAAGATATTATACATCGGAAATTTTACCAAGTAGAAAAGAACGTTCATTCATAACGTCTACAAGGTATTTTTTCACGATCTTATCTAAACTATTACATAAGTCTGGAGAATACAAGTAACCCAGATCACCTATCATGAACTGTATGCGTGTTAAGGGCGGCAACTCTGAAAAACAGATATCCATTTTTAAACTCTCGAAACATGCTTGTGTGATAATAAGTTTTCTACAGGTACAGCCAAACTTCCAAACTAAATCTTTGTATCTATGAAAGAATTTAGTAAAGGGTTTAAGTAATTTGTGGAAACACCGGAAATCCTTGACTTAATAATTTACCCGTAATACTCAGATTACGTTCATTGAAACGTCACTACAGACACGGGCATAGCGAACGAGTTGGGATATAGAAACACCGTAAGATGGTGCCAAAGGAAAAAGGGAAATAAACAATAGGGAAGAAAAAATCGTCTCTTTTGTTGTAAATTTTTATGTAGAGTTCCCCGTGTAAAACCGAAATATGTTAATCTAGGAAATATATTTAAAGTAAGTTCCTTTTGGGTTAATTTCGGCAGTATAATTATTTAGAGAATTCTTGATTATAATATTTAATGAAAGAAACTCAATAATATAACGGTTAGTGTTGTTGAATTTATCAATTAAATGGAATTCAGAAGGGTCTTTACTGAGTTTGGCCATAAACTGTGATTCATAACAATACAGAAACAAGTCTGCAATTAAAGGGGCGCAATGGTGCCTTTAGGAATACCTACACCCTGTCGATATTTGGTAGATTTATAATACTTTTTGATTTTTGAAATCAATGGCTAACAGAGTGACCTTTTCCTTTGTTATAAACAATCTAGAATTTGCTGATTTCATTTTTTAGTCACTTTTAGACAGATGCGATGGGCAAAAAACTTCATTATAATTTCAGATCTAAACGGTAAACATCAACAATTTTGAACCACGTGATTTTTATACCTAGAGATCTTATTAAGGTCCTATCCTATCCAGCACTATGTTTTGTCTGCCCTCAAACCGGTATTATAGGTTACATGGGTTAGGACCTGTAGTAACATGCCTGTAGATATAGGAGTGATGATAACATAATGCCAATATAACTATAGATGAAGATACTACAACAGTGAATATATGTGAACAATGATACGATTTCTAATAAATTAGAATGGAAAGGGAATTTGAACATGCAGTTTTGTTAAAGATAGGCGAAATATAACAAAGGGATATTCAAACTCATAAGTCGAAAACAAACTGACAATGTCATGTCTAAAAACGAAAACGACCAAAAGACAAACGACAGTACATAAAACACAACATAGAAAACTAAAGACTAAGAAACACGAACCCCAACAAAAACGGGGATGATCTCAGGTGCTCCGGAAGGGTAGCAGATCCTGCTCCACATGTGACACCCGTCGTGTTACCTGACTCCTATAAAATATGTTGATACGTTATATATATATATATATATATATATATATATACAAATGTTTAATTATGTGTATTACCCCTAACGGGAGGGATTGTGCTTGCATTTTATATGATGAAGACATAATCTTTCTATCAGTTTAATTGAGGTCTGGAGCTGGCATGTCAGTAACTGCTAGTAGTTCTTTGTTAATTTATGTTGATCATTGCCATTTTGCTTAGTTTCTTCGGTTACCTATTCTAACATCGGACTCGGATTCTTTTTAAACTGAGTTTTACTGTGCGTTTTGCTGTGTGTTTGTTTATCCCTCATTTGCTAGGGGTATAGTTGATATATCACAAAGCATGTTTAACCCCGCCGCATTTATGCGCCTGTCCCAAGTCAGGAACCTCTAGCCTTTGTTTGTCTTGTGTGTTTTTTTATTTTGATTCATTTATATGTTTCGCAGTTTAGTGTGGCGTTCATTTCGCTTAACTAGTACACATTATTGTTTAGGAGCCAGATGAATCCCGCCTCCGGTGCGGGATTTTCTCGCTGCGTTGAAACCCCACTGGTGACCTTGGGCTGTTTTCTACTCTTTGGTCGGGTTGTTGTCTCTTTGACACATCCCCCGTTTCCATTCTCATTTCTATTACTTTTTCGAATGTCCTATTTGGAGGGAGACCCATGAAAATTGAAAGGGGGCCGCAATCGCGGGAAATGGAATAAGCGAGGCGAAGTATTTTTTGGACGATTTTGTGCAAAAAAATCATATAAATAGTGAGAAACAACATGATATTTTGTAATTTTTTTGCGATAAAAAAAGGGGGTATGCGCCGTCTACTCCATATTCTGGATCCGCCACTGGGGTTAATGGTGAAAAGTGGTATTCAATGGCATTTACACATTAAGATACAACTCACATGCATTTATTACAAGTATATAAACCAAACACATGTCGATCGGCTGTAAACGTCTGATTTTGATAGTATTAATACAATTAAGTAGACATTTATACATAAAATAACTGATAATAATGTCTTGAAACAAAATGGTTTCAAAAGAACAAGAAATATAAACACACAAATAAGAACAAGGCACATATGTAACCTGGAATTCTATCTGTATTTCTAGGCGGTTTTGTTTGTTCAAACATAGATTGTCCTGAAAAATTTGTCAATCCGGAATCCGAAAAGCGAGATCTTTTTGAACGAGAATTATCTGGAAAAGAAGAAGACAAACGACGTGTTGGCACAGAATGAGTATATGTTGGCGCAGGATGTGTATTATCTGTGGATCTAGAATAAATTGTTGTTTCGGGATAATTATCCAAATTCGTGAGATTTAAGGATTGACTATTATGGTCTAGGTATTGATTTCTAGATCTCCCTGTACTGCGCCGACGCCAAGCTGATCCACCAGCATTACCTCGTACATTCACACTTGATCCCTCATTACATGTTGTAAATTTGTTTGAATCCACCTTGGAAATCGAAGTTGTATACACTGGAATGGAATTTATTATTCCGAGTTTTTCCGCTTTTCGGAATACCCAGAGTCTTCGATTGTCATGTGTGAACCACTTTCCTTCCCACCAACACACGCTGATTCTAGGAATATTTGCAACTGTAGCTGATCCATTTATAAGATCATCTAACGTTTCTCCAATACGCGTGCCACTATGGTTTGTTGAGATTCCAAATTTATTCGAAATTGAATTCTGTGTAAAAAAAATGTCCGATGGCATCAGCTGCATATTTGGTACTATGCAAATTTAATTTAATTCATCTAATGTTTCTCCACTATTCATAACACTATGTCCTGTAAACAATCCAAAAAAAAAAAAATGAAATTGAAATCTGAGTGTAAAAAATAATCCGATGGCCTCAGACCCATATTCAGTACTATGCAAAGTTAGTTTCACTTTTATTATTTTTTTCTGAAAAATTAATTACGACTGTAATCGATACCGTAACCACAGAGACAGCATATCAAAGTGCATATTAGAGGGTCTGGTGGGTTTATAGAATAGAGAATAATGGGTCAAATCTACAGAAAATTGACAAAAAAATAAAAAAAATAGAGAAAAATAGGACAAAAAATTAAAGAAAAGAGAATAAGGATCACAATAAATTAAGAATAGAGAAAACTGGTCTAGAAGTTTAAGAATAACTAAACGAAGGACCCCATATAACTTTACAAACAATCGATATTTAAAATGTTAAAAACTGTCTACTTCTAAAAATACAGACTTCAATATCTGTTTTTGTAACAATAGAATTTATATAGCACGAAGAAATAGCTGCGTCACCTATTATGACTATAGCTTTTGTGAAAATAAGCTTCTTTGCTTTCACTTCGTTTTGTTCCGCAAGTCCCTCATGTAATGAATGTACACTGTGTCTTTGGACTTGGTTCATAGCTGAAGACTTTTTTACAACTTGTAAGACGCATGCAGACTAGCAATAATAGACTTATTTCTTTGATACATCGATTTTCTCAGCGGATTTTTTTTTTTCTGATACTTTAGTCTGATGTACATAAACAAAATATCCCTTATTTGTCAATGGAATTTATTGTTGACACCTGAATACTAGTACGTTGTTGACTTGCACAAGTTAAGTCGAAATAGGGGATTAAGTTAAAGTCTAAGTAAGGGAACTATATATAACTTGTTTTAATTATTAAGCTTAACATCTTATAAATTACACGTTATGTTTCTGTTGAAGTTAGGTATACTTAACATGCAGCAGTAAATATGTAATGTGTTATAACGATTGTACGTGTTATACTGACTCGTACCCTTTCACTGTAACTAATACTAATCACCATTGTAGTTTTTCAAGAGTTTGGTGTACACCAACATGTTAACCCCCAGTAACCCTCTTTTTGTGCCCCACCTAGGGGCATTATGTTTTTCGGTCTGTGCGTCCGTTCGTCCGTCGAACCGTCCGTCTGTCCCGCTTCAGGTCAAAGTTTTTGGTCAAGGTAGTTTTTGATGAAATTGAAGTCCATTCAACTTAGTACACATGTCCCCTTTGATATGAACTTTCAAATTTTAATGCCACATTAGAGTTTTGACCCCAATTCACAGTCCACTGAACATAGAAAATGATAGCGCGAGTGGGGCATCCGTGTACTATAGACACATTCTTGTTTCATTATGATTAAGTACGGTGAAATGAAATTGTACAACTTGAAAACAAATTTTTCATCATATGCACATTGTTTGCTGGTTCAAAACAAAATAATTCAACTTTGCATTCACTCGAACTAAGGATTTTCTACCCCAGGAATAGATAACATTAACAGTATATGGTAAAACCTTTTGGAATTTGGATCTTTAATTCGTTTCAACCTCGTATTTTATTTGGTCTTTTCAACTTTTTTCATTCGAGTGTCACTGATGAGTCTTTCTGGTACAAAATAAAAACATTTAATGCTAAAATGAGATAAAATTATTGAACAAGGATGATATTTATGTTGGCGTCATGCAATATGATATTAGTTTATTATGGGTTTTCTAATAAGTATATTTATATATATTTGTTGAAAAGTTAAAAAACGTGTTCACGCTTTTGCATGATATATGAAAAAATAAGGCTGAAAATGCACTACATATTTATATTCAATATGAATAATCACATTTTGTCTAGTAAGACATCAAATTATTCTAAAATGTTCTCCATAATTTCCTACCGGTTTCACTGTTTCACAGATATTCATGCATGGATATGGCTGCTTGCGACGTCGTAAGGGGTAACGTCTATTAGCGACATCATTATTAAATCCTGAACGTCATAATATAGTACAACGTAGGTACTTAAAACGAAAATGAAAGTAACAATATAGAAACTGCCATCCGGATTCACATTTTATCGATTTAATTTTGGACGGGATTTCTTAATTTTCTTTATTATTTCTCATTGGTGCCGTTGCTTTATCCGAACACTGATAAAATGGGGAAAAAAGCGCATAGATCAATTTGTTCGCTAAGTGGGATTTTTCTTGTACTTGGGACTCGAATTTGCTGTCTTTTTACTGTCATACGTTTTCTAATGGTGTTGCCGGTTTGTCCAATATAATTTTCTTGGCAACCACTGTACAAGAAAAATTCCACTTGGCTAACATATTGATTTATGCGCTGGATCAAATCAACCAAATTTCTGGTTCCGTTGCTTTATCTGAACACTGATAAAATGGAAAAATAAAGTGCATAGATCAATATGTTCGCTAAGTGGGATTTTTCTTGTACTTCGGACTCAATGTATTTTACTTGTACTTAATGTACTTTTTCCATTCTATCAGTGTTTTCATATATATATATATATTTGTTTTGCATGCACATGTATAAAAATTGCGGTTTTTATCAAACGCAATCATAGGTTTGAACGTTGTTTTCAATTTAGACTTGTTTATATTTTATCGTTTGGACTTGTATTATATTTGCCTTAGGGTTTATATGATCCGTTCATCCTATTTTGACTCCTCAAAATTCAAGAGTCTATCCTAAATTGAGGTAAATTGTTGGGCTTTCCAAATACCGTTTCGATTCCTAACATCACTGAAGAGACATTATTTGTCGAAATCCGGATATGGTGTACAAAAACCTTTGCACCTTTTGTTTGCGGTATATCATCTTTTCCGCAAGTTCATTGTTTTCTGTTTAGTATTAAATTTAAAATTAAGATCCATTTATTACATCGGTGATCCGTTTATTTGGCAATCGCCAATGGCAGTCAGCAGGGTTTAAGAACATTTGTTGTTCGACCTGTTAGTCAAATACGTTTTGTTAAAATATACTTTTTCACTTTTTTGGTCTTTTGGAAAATGTTGTTTGTGTCGTATTTAGACCCCTCTAACAAGAAATTTGTTTTGCATGCACACGTATAAAAATTGCGGTTTTTATCCAACGCAATTATAGGTTTGAACATTGTTTTCAATTTAGACTTGTATATATATATATATATATATATATATATATATATATATATATATATATATAAGTCTAAAGATTTGCACAACGGTACTAATATAAGATAGTAATATACGAAGATGATGTTATAAAATCGTGTTAACAAATATTTTGGCTTAACAAATAGCCTTCGTCAGTGTCAATAATGTTTACATTGTACCAATTGTGTTAAATGATATTATGAAACCAATTAAAAATCATATACACGTGTTTATTGTTTTCTAATAAAACGATCATCTGATTTATTTTTGTCATACAGGAAATTTTTGGGGACAAAAAATAATAAAAAAGCTGAATTGTAAATTTAAACTAAAACATGTTTTGTACTGGAACCCCCGTATAAGACATAAAATATGGTATTTGACAGACTTTGACAGAAACAGGCAATGTATGCCCTCAGTTTTGGAATTCATTCATACATTTTTGTAGTATTCTAAGTTATCGGTCAAAATGTGTTGTACAAGGATCACCAGTCCTTCATCTTTCATTTGACACCTAAATTAACAAAATGTATTCTACATAGTTTGATATGTAAACCACCTATGCGTAGGAACTATAATTCAGTGTTTTAAATATGTGCTATTTTCTAGTATGTTCTTTTTATCCGGACCCGAATAGGTGGTGTTACATTTTACAAAGTCTATCCGAATTATATAGCAAATTATTCCGCACAAACCGGTGCTAGGGGCCGTCTTAAACTTTCAGTGAGGAGGGAGCTTTTTTATCCGTGTTGAAGGCCTCACTGTGACTTTGAGATGAAGAACAGCCATAAAAGCGCTGTTCCTTTGCTTTTTGTGTTTTTTTTTTTTTGCCGTGCATGTACTGACTTCGAATCATGGATGGATACCCCACTGGCCAAATCCTTTGTTTTTCTATTGTTTATTTTAAGAAATTTTGTGTAGCAACGGAAAGTAATCCTCACGTAGAAACCAAATTACAATGAGAACCATCCTTGTAAAAAAATTGAGAAAGATTTCGAATAATGTGAGAAAAAGATCTTCTCTAAAAAAACATTATTTTTGTCTACTCAGTAAACGTCCTTGATTGTCTAATGTCATCGATTATTAAGCATTTCTCTGTCTGACTATCTAGTGTGACGTCTGTGTATTTACTAAATGATGAACCTGATAAATGAGCGAATAAACTTATGGTCAAATGGTGTTGGTATCATGATAACCACTGACACTAAGTAAGTTCACCAGCCGATATTTAATCGAATACTCTGACCAACTTGTAGAAAAAACATATGTGTTTATAATAATGATAATTATATACATGTTAATGCAATACACAGCAACGGTAAACCTAAATCAGAAAAGAGATTAACTGAATCACTTTACACACACGAACCCACACACACTCACTTAAGGATGTATTCTTCAGATGTTTCAGTCTCGTTGAAATCTCGTTCGGGAATTATTTCCAAAACATGTGATACAAGTGGAAAATATCAATGAATTTTAAAAATTATAATCAAACTAAACTCTGTGAAAAAAATGTGAACTTAAAATAAGTAGGTGCTGAGTAATAAAATTTTCAAATTTTATAACCAATCCCGTCAGTGTCAGCCAAAATGTTGAGTAAATGGGTGAGGGGTACAAAGAAATGATTTTACCGAAAATATGTACATCCCATATCAATTTTATCTTTTCAAAATTCTTAGATATGTATTTTTCAATCATTTATAACAAAGAAGTTGAAATAATATGATTTTTGTTCTAAAAAAAAAGAACAAAATCCAAAATTTACAAAATTGACAGCATGGTCAATTTTACACGAAAAAGCAACAAGATTTTATAAAATTTTCTAATATTAACATCAACCTATAGTTTTTTTAAGTTGAATTTATTCAGATTGGTCCACTTCATTTTCAGTGAAAGTATTGGAAAAAGTTTAATTGTGAAACTGTCATTTTTTTATGATAATAGCTAGCCCCCCCCCCTTCCCCCCCCCCCTCCAACCTTCACCAATTTACGAATAAAAGGAGAAGTGGAGTATACAGTATCATGTCCATATTCGTTTACTGAAAAAATCTTACAATATAAATTAATTGTATCAAGTAACCGAACTCCTGTTATCTATATATACTTAGATCTATATCTTATTGATGTACGTATTTTTACGACTAGGGTGTAAACAATTTATGTCACCTTCAACTCACAAAAGCTGTGAGTTAGTTCAAATCGTATTGGTTTTATTTATATCCATGCATTGTCAATTAATATGTTGAACACTTCTGAACAATAAAACAGGGTTAAAGATTAATCTTTTGCGCCAGTTTTCGGTCAATTTTTATCGTTTCTCACACATTGTTTACCTATTAGTAACCTTTGGGCTGTTGTGCTAAAATTGATCTGCACAAGCAGCATTCGAATCCAAATTATTGTCAGCAAGCAGAATTGATCTAAATTATTGTCAGCAATAACTGTACCAAATGAATAGATAATCACAGAGGCGGATTTAGGGGGGCAGGGGTCTGTCCTATTTATCGAGCTACATATATGGTTAATTTTTTACATGTTCCACTCCTAACATTGTCTTGCCGCCATCCAGACCCCCCCCCCCCCCCCCCCTTTTCAAAATCCTGAATCTGCACCTGGTCCATTGCTTATACTGTAAACCAACTTATTTTCGTGGATATTTTTTACGCGTTAAGCCCTTTCTAGTCGATTTGGCGGCGATATATTTTTGCGATTTTCGTACCGTCTTTGTTGGTGTATTCATCATATAAAAGAATATTCCTTTTATTCCCAATGGGCATACTTAACATTGACATGACAATAACATCAGTAATTCAATATTAAAGACAATGAAATAATATTCAATTCAACAATTAGAAATACACTTATAAGAGAAAATCTTGTGGTATGACATATTTTTTTCCTCGAAAAAGTCGCAAATAAATTATCTATTGGTTTGAATAGGTCAGTATACCTTTTAAATTCCATGACGTTTTCTGCATGGGCACTCTTGTTGTTGGTTTTTTTTTTATCTAGGTCTTCAATTGTATTTTTAGCCTGGCATCCTGACCCAATCTAATACTTCGTCGAGCAGTAAGCCAGGATCCCAGGCTATTGTATTTTTGTTTATGTTGATATTCCCTTTGAGACACAGACGCTTCGATATTTGTAAAATCTCTATTAACAGGTGGCAAAATAAGGGTTGATAGGGAAAATGATCTCGATGGCATCATTTGATAAAGTGAATTATGGATGTACACCTCTGATGAGCCAAACATTTCTAGGATTAAACTTTTTTTCCTAACCCCAAAATATGTTCGCTAAGTGGGATTTTTCTTGTACTTGGGACTCGAATTTGCTGTCTTTTTACTGTCATACGTTTTCTAATGGTGTTGCCGGTTTGTCCAATATAATTTTCTTGGCAACCACTGTACAAGAAAAATTCCACTTGGCTAACATATTGATTTATGCGCTGGATCAAATCAACCAAATTTCTGGTTCCGTTGCTTTATCTGAACACTGATAAAATGGAAAAATAAAGTGCATAGATCAATATGTTCGCTAAGTGGGATTTTTCTTGTACTTCGGACTCAATGTATTTTACTTGTACTTAATGTACTTTTTCCATTCTATCAGTGTTTTCATATATAAATATATATATATTTGTTTTGCATGCACACGTATAAAAATTGCAACGCAATCATAGGTTTGAACGTTTTTTTCAATTTAGACTTGTTTATATTTTATCGTTTGGACTTGTATTATATTTGCCTTAGGGTTTATATGATCCGTTCATCCTATTTTGACTCCTCAAAATTCAAGAGTCTATCCTAAATTGAGGTAAATTGAGGTAAA